GGCTGTACTTTTGGCCCTAAGGAGAGCTCTTCTGCCCCCAAGATGCTGGCAGTTGGATGCCAGTGAGGTGCCCGTTGCGTCAGACGGGGAGGCAAACATCAGCGCCCCCATCCTCTCATCCGCTCGGCAAGGAAAGCAGCGTTCAGACAACACCCCGTGCATCTGTCCCGACTGCCGTAAACAAAGGCATACACAAGTGTAGCAGGTTGCGGAGCACTTCCTCAAAAGAAGGATGTGGCGGCGCTACCGGGGACAGGGTTGTGCAGTAGCCTCTCCCCGGCAGGGGGAAAGGGCTATGAGGTCTGAAGAGACGGTGCAGTTCCGTGGCGGTTAGAGGTCCAGACTGGGCTCCCAGCCGCAGCCCCACCTCTGCGACAGATGCTCTGGGTCACAGCACCGTCCCAGCTCCCCAGCCCTGTGGGAGATTAGTGAGCTACAGGCTGGCTGGCAAATTCTGTCAGGGCTGCAAATTCCTTTACAGGCTGAGCAACACAAAGCAAGAGCTGTCCGGATGTCCCGATTGAGCTGAGAGAGGGGGAGATCCTCGGTGTGGAAGCTGTGGCAGGTGCTTCGGCCGGCCCTCCTTCAGCTCCCCAACACTGGCCCGGTGCATCGATGGGAGCCTGCTTGGCCGGGTTCCAGTTTCACGAGCCCTTGCTGAGCTGCATTGCCAGGAAGCCTGCGGGCTGCCTTCCACTGAGCCCCCGGCGCTGCCTTGCTTGGCCTGGTTCCTGCCCCACAGTCATCCTTCCAGAAGTCTGTCTAGAGAGCGAGCGTTGCCGTCTGAGCCCTCAGCTGCATGTGGTCGCCAGCCACGTTTTGTGCAGTGGAGTGCCAGGGAATATGCACGGCACAGGGTATGGACGAGCTGTGCCAGTGCCAGCATGCTAGCCCCTTTGGCACCATGAACTTCGGCGAGAGCTCCAGAGCAGCAGAGAGGAGTTAAGGCCACTGGGAAGAGAACGTGCTTTGAACGGCTGGACCCGTCGTCCTCTGGGGGCCCTGCACAAGGCACCCCGGCTCCCCCCTTGGATTCCTTTGGTATCACAGGGTTCCCGACCCGGCGGAGATGCCTCTTGCTTTTGCTCCAACCGTCAAGGCACATGGCGGGGGGACGGACTTCTCTCTTGCTCCCCTCCTTCTGGGGCCGCTCCCAGGTGAGGCCGTTGCTTCTCCGCTCAGGTGTGTTACGGAGGAAC